CTTCCTCTTCCCCTTCCCCTTCCCCTTTCCCTTTCCCTTTCCCTTTTTTTTGCACGTCTTTTTTTAAACAACGTCTGCTATTCATTTTCCAAATCAGAGTAAGGGAAAAAGCAGCATTTCTGGCACACCAAGCATTTTCCCTGCCTGCCCTCATGGCAGAAGAGGCTGCAGGAAGCCGGGAGAGGGGGATTTGCCGGGATTCTCCCCCTTGTGGGATTTTCCCAGGACCCCCCGGGGGCGAGGGGCGCACGGGGGCTCACAGAGGACGTCGAGGGTGCGGGGGGCCGAGCTGCGGGCGCCCTCGGGGCTCTCCACGGTGCAGCGGTAGGTGCCGGCGTCGGCTGCGCGCACGCGGGGCAGGACGAGCCGCGGGTCGGGGCCGGCGCTCAGCCAGGCGCCGTCCTTGAGCCAGGTGTAGTTGAGCGGCGCCGCGCCGCCGCCGCGGGCCACCGCGCACGTCATGTTCACGGCGTCGCCCTCGCGGACCTCCGGGGACGGGGACATCCAGAGCCTGGCAGCTGCCGAGGGAGGGAGAGGACAAAACCTGGGCATGCAGAGCGGCAAACGGAGCCCGTCCGGGCTGGGCTCTTGTGCTCCAGGCAAGTGGTGCCATGCGATGCCTTTCTGACATGTTCATCCCCGGGGACCCCTCCCCACAACACGCTTCTCCCTCTGCTTCTTCCCTCTGCCCACACTGCTCATCCTCCTCCAGAGCATCCATGGGCAGGGTGCTCCATGGTGCTCCATGGTGCTCCCCCATTCTCCACAATGCTCCACCATGCTCCATGGTGGTCCATGATGCTCCTCCATGCTCCACTGTGGTCCACCATGCTCCATGGTGGTCCATGATGCTCCATAGTGGTCCATGATGCTCCATAGTGCTCCACAATGATCTACAATGCTCCCCGATGCTCCATGAGCATCCTGCAGCTCCCATCCCCCTGCATGTCCCCATGCCAACCTCCCCACCTCCCTGGCTCCCTCCACGGGCCGTCCACTCGCCTCCATCCCCGCTCCCGCTCGCATCCCGGTCCCTCCGGGCAGGCGCAGCCCCACACTCACTTCCCGCCACGAAGCTGCCCACGGTGCTGGCGTTGCCGTGGGCATTGCGGGCCCGGCACACGTACTCCCCTTCGTCCTCCATCACCACGGCGTGGATGGTGAGGCGCAGGCTGTTGAGCGAGGAGGCCACGGCGAGGCGCGAGGCCCCCGCGGGCTGGCGCTGGGCGCTGGAAGCCACCAGCACGTGGCCCTTGAGGAGCTCCAGCGTGGCCGGGGGGCTGCTGTCCACGGAGCACTGCAGGACGCCCCGCTGCCCCTGCGCTGTCTCCAGGAAGGAGGTCAGCACGGGCTGCCGGGGCGGGTCTGCACGGCGAGAGCACGCGTGAGCACCGCACGCCCCCAAAGCTCCCCGTCGCGGCTCCCCCTCTCCCGCTGTGCCACCCTGCTGTCCCCAGGGGATGTTGGATACTCGGGGTGCTCCTGAGCTCCCTCTGCTAGTGCCCAGCTGCAGCCCCAGCTCAGCAGCACCCCGCGGTGGAGCGGAGCACAGCCAGACCTTCCCCCGTTCAGCCCTCCATCCCAGAAAGGCAAAACTCTCCCCAAACTAGTGCTTTGAAAAACCAAGGTAAATTCAGCCCATTTCAACAGAACTGGAACAAACATCACTGCACTTTCCTATCCTACATGGTGAGACACAGAGTGGTCACACCATCTCTGACCAGCCGGGACGTGTTTGGCTGAGCAGTGTCTTAGTCCAGACCAGGGATGTCCTCTAGGGATGTCCTCTGTAGAGGAGAGGTGTTCCCATAGGTCGTCCTGCTTCCAGCACTCCAAATTTCATCACGGAATTGGACAAGTCCTGCTCAAAACCCAGTGTTCCCTGTGGTGACCCCACTCACAGAAGACGCGCAGGCTGATGGATGGGGAGATGCTGGTGCTGGCGCCGGTGGCACTGTGCGCTTTGCAGTGGTAGGAGCCCGCGGCCTCGCTGGAGATGCGGGGCAGGGCGAGGAGGTTGTCCGAGCCCTCCTGCACTTGCTTGCTGTTCTTGAACCATGAGTAGACGGTGTCCTGCGGTGGCTCCCCGAGCAAGTCGCACGTCAGGGAGACATCGCTGCCCTCTGTCACCTCCGTGGACGGCGCCACAAGGACTCTGGCCGCTAGAGCACATTGGGAAGCCACAGGCAGGTCAGAGACACGTGCAGGGACCGGCTCCCTTCCCCAAGCAGCCCACAGGAACCACAAGCTGGAGCTTGTGATGGCCTTGGAGTATCACAGTGTCACACCATTCAGGACCTTCCTGAGGCCACTCGGACCTTCTCTGCAGCCCGAGACTGGAGTGACCCTGGCTACCAGCACTAACCAGCCCGCAGCAAACCAAGCACGTGGCTTGTGCAATGGGCCGAACCTACTGATGCTCCTGTCAGCGTCAGGATGCTGGCAGCCTTTAGTGGCAGTGGACACGTCTCTGCAGACACGAGCACTTAGAGCTCCTTGCCAGAGAGCTGAATCCCAGCCCGAAAGTCTGGAAATGAATTTAGCCCTAGATTTCTGGTAAATTCCCAGTGCATCTAAGGTGTTGGCCAAGCACAAAGCTACAGGGCCTGGGTGCAGAGCCAGGTGCTCCCCAGGCTCCAGAGCGCTGGTTTCGCACCAGCATCAGCCATAGGCAGCCACAGAGGCTCCTTCCCCTGTCCCAGAGAGTCACCCTTGCAGGGGATGCCCCCCAGCTCATCCCAGAGCCCGTGGCAGAGAGCTGCTATAGAGCCTGCCCGCCTCTATGGAAGATGCTTTATCAGACACCATTTCCCACCGCAATCGGGGCTGTCTGGCTGTCGCCTGAGATGCTCAGTGACATTTCTGTCAGCTGCCGCGGCCGTGGGACGGTTCCCGCAGCGCTACCGCTCCCCGGCGACGCACAGCAAAGGTCACACTCGTGCTGGTGCTTGCCGGCTGCAGAGCTGCCGCCCAGCGCCCTCCCCACCCGCCCAGCGCGCCGGGACGCACCTCGGGAGGGCCCTTTGCAATGGGTCCTGCTGCAGGGACCTGTGCAGGGACCTGTGCAGCCCGAGCCCTGCTGGGTGGTGGGTGCACCTCGGGGAGGGCCCTTTGCAAAGGGTCCCTGTGCAGGGACCTGTGCAGGGACCTGTGCAGCCTGAGCCCTGCTGGGTGGCGAGCACATCTTGGGTTCCCGCTGCTGGTCCCTGGGGTGGTGCATGGTGCATGGTCCCTGTGCCCGCGTGGCACAGCACTGGTGACCCCAAGATGATATCCCCCCCTTGCACTCACTCTGCACGCGGAAATAGAGGTGCTGGGAGGCGCTGCCGTGCGCGTTGCTGGCCGTGCAGCGGTAGCTGCCCTCGTCCGCCGGCGTGACGTCCCGCACCTCGGCTCGCAGGGTGTTTGGCGCCGCCGTGACGCCGACCCGCGGGCTGTGGCCGCTGCCTGGCGCGCTGGAGGCCACCAGCTCGTCGCCCTTGTAGAGGTCCAGCTGCGCAGCGGGGTTGCTGTCCACGGCGCACTGGAACACGGCCAGCCTCCCGCGCTGCGTCTCCAGCAGGACGGTCGCCCGCGGCTCCCGCGGAGGGTCTGCGCAGGGAGGGATGCTGCTTGGTGCCAGAGCCGCCTCGCGGAGCTTCCCGTTGCCCTGGGGCTGCTGTGCAGCCGCCAGCCTGGGACATGGAGCCTCCTGGAGGCAGCAGCCACCAGAGATGGGCCACCAGCTCAGCGCTTTGCAGGGAGAAAGCAATGAAATGAATCTCCTTTTGGCAGCATTGGCACAGGGGAGCACTGGGTCCCCCAGCAGCAGGTGCCAGCAGGGCCTTTTCCAGGAGCTCCTGCTGCTCTGCCATGCGGCTCTGCTCCTGCTGGCAGCGCACACGTGCCCGGGCACACAGCGAGTGCTGAGGCGCTCAGCAGGGACACGGAGGCTGATGTCCCTGCTTGGTCACAGCAGCTCACCTGCACAAGCAGCAGGCTCTGCAAGGAGCAGAGGCCCCTCACGACGTGGCGGGGCAGGAGATGCAGGAGCTGCAGGCTGCTGGGGCAGAAGCACCCAGAGCAGCAGGCGAGGGGCTGCATGCGGGCAGCAGCAGCACGGGCTCCACGCAGCGGGAGAGGGGCTGATCCTTGCATGCACACACCGCGTGCCCACATTGACTTGTTTTTTGCAAAGCCACATGCTTGCTCGCACCTCTCGTGTGCCCTTGCACCAGCACAGCGAGAGCAGGGGCTGGTGCCCTGTGCTGAGCCCCCCGGGTGCGCTGGGACCCCCCGCGCCGCACTCACACATCACATCCAGGCTGAGCGCTTCGGCGCTGCGGCTGATCCCGCCGGCGGATGCTTTGCAGTGGTAGAGGCCGGCATCGCCGCGGGCCACGCGCGGGAATGCCAGGGATGCGGCCGCGGCCTGGGGCAGCTGGCGGCCGTTCCGGTACCAGGTGACGTTGGGCGGCGCGGCGGAGCTCACGCGGCAGCTCAGGTTGACGGCCTGGCCTTCCAGCACGCGCCAGGAGGGATCCGCCTGCACCCAGGCACCTGCAGCGGGGCACGGCAGGAGCTGGGCACAGCCGCCCCGGGGATTTCAACTGGGGTTCAATGGGACTCGCAGGTCGGGCCCAAGCTGGCCACTGACAGCGTTGTGGAGAGCAGCCCTCATGGAAAGAACACGGAGCTAAAGGGTCCCTGAGACCTGAATTCCCCCAAGGCTCTGCTTCTCCTCTAGGAATTCCCTCCTTTCCTGGAAAGTATCCAGACCTTCTCCTCACCCCGCTCCAGAAGCTCTTCTGCATGACATCAGATCAGCCCCCACGCTGCTCCCCAGGGCAAGGGTCCGTCCTGCACCCCGGCCCTCCCTTTGGGGTCCGGCCCACCCCCGTCCCGCGGTGCTCACTGTGCGCCGTGAAGCCCACGGAGGCGCTGGCGTTGCCTTGGCCGTTCCTGGCCACGCACACGTAGGTGCCCTCGTCCTGCAGCACCACGTCGCGGATCTCCAGCCTCAGGCTGTTGTAGGCGGGGGCGGCGCGGAGGCGCGGGCGGGGGGCGGCGCCGCAGCCCCCCGTGCACGCCACGGCCTCGCGCCCACGCAGCAGCGTCAGCTGCGCCTCCGGCTCGCTCTGCACCGTGCACTCGATGATGCCCACGCGCCCGCCCTGGCTCTCCACGAAGGAGCGCAGCACGGGCGGCCGGGGAGGGACTGCGGGGCACAACGGCGCTGTGAGATCAGTGCCAGCGCCGGCACGGGGAGCACCCCACAAATCTGCCCTTAGGACCACCCAGTTGATGCATATGGAGCCACCAGCTAAGTGAGATGCTCCTGTGCATCCCTCCATCCTTATCTTGCACTCGGATCATCCCCAGGGATGCCCCGCGGCGGGAGAGGGCACTTACAGAGCACGCGCAGGGACACGGGCGCCGCGGTGTCACCGCTGCTGGTTTGGCAGTGGAAGGCGCCGGCGTCCTCGGCGCCGACGGAGGGGAAGAGCAGCGTCGCGGCCGAGCCCCGCGGCAGCTGCCGCCCGTTCTTGTACCAGGCGTAGGTGGCGGCGGGACGGGCGGCCTCGCACGTCAGCGTCACGGCGTCGCCCTCGCGCACCTCGGCTGCGGGCTGCATCAGCACCCGTGCGGCTGCGGAGGGAAGGAAGCGGCTGCGGGGAGAGCGCTGCATCCTGCAGCTCCCGGGGCCTCCTGCGTGCACGTCATGGATGCGCAGGATGTCCTGCGTCCAGTGTCCATGCCCTGCAGGACGCTGGCACCGCCGGCCCAGCATCCATCCCTGTGCTCCTCTGGGACATCATCTGGATCCCGCTGAGCGCCACCTCCACTCAGATCGTTTGCTCCCCAGCACGGAGACATCTCCGGCTGTCCAAAGTGATCCTGCAAGCTCTAGTGCCCAAATAGGTCGTTGTTCCTTTGCAATGGGAATTTCAAGCCCATGTTGGCATCTGGGGAAGGTTCCTCTCAGGAATGGCTTGTCCAGGGCTTTCCTCCCTCTTCCCCCAAAGGCGTCAAAGCAGACACATCATTCTGTCAACTCTAGCTCCAATTCCAGAAATAGGGAAGTGACCAAGTGGCAGGGAGGGGGGACATGGCTTGAGTGACAGCAGAGGCCCCTCAAGATTGGGCTGGGGAGGTGACTGTGGGTACAGGGCCCCAGGGCTCTTGTGCCTTGGTCCTGCCATGGTCCTGTCATGTCCCAGCTCACAGATGCTGGACTCTGCCTGGGCACACATGGAGGAGGTTGGGACACTCCAGCAGGTCCCATCCAGGCTTCAGGAGAGCCTGGTTCCTCTCCAGCACAAATATGCATGCACGTGGACATGCACAACGTACAAACGTGCCCAAATCCACGCATGCACAGGGCCATGCACAATGCACAAACATGCACAAATATATGCATGCACGTAGACATGCACAATGCACAAACGTGCCCAAATCCATGCATGCACATGGACACGCACAAACAACCCACACAGACCCAGCTTTCAGTAGTAGCCCCCAGACCACTGGAGCAGGCACCATGCTCCAAAAGCAGGAGCAAGTCTGGGAGAAGCCAAGACTTCCAGCAGCACCATCCCGCCCGGAGCCCGCGGGACTCACTGCGGGCCACGAAGGCCTTGGCGGCGGCGGCGCTGCCGAGCGCGTTGCGGGCCGTGCAGCGGTACTCGCCGCTGTCGGCGGGCGCCACGGCGCGCAGCTCCAGCCGCAGGGCATTGCGCGCCGCGGCCACGCGGAGCCGCCCGCCCGGCGCCCCGTGCGAGCTGCTCGTGGCCACCAGGTCGCCCTCGTGGAACAGGGACAAGGTGGCCGCCGGGTGGCTGTCCACGGTGCAGTGCACGATGGCCAGCTGGCCGTCCGCAGCCTCCTGGAACAGGGCGATGCTGGGCGTCCGGGGGGGATCTGTGGGGACAGGGATGGGGAGGGCAGCGCTGGCTTTGCAGCCGCTGCATGCAGCAGACTCCAGCGCAGTGTCCCCTACCTACACCGCGAGTCCGAGCCCGGCCCTGCCAGCAAACACAGCTGCTGGCTGGAGCTGCTTTCTCACTTACGTCAGCGGGTTATATTTACTCACAGAAATGTCAACGCCAAGCCCGAGAACCCTTTTATTTTTCCCCTGACTTGCAAAAGCTCTCAGGCTGTTATTATCGTAGCCGCCTCGGTGCTTTGCAGGAGTTTATGGGCCGGCGGCAGAGCAGAGGAGCATGCGCTGGATGCAGTAGGGAACGGGCAGTGGATATAGAGTTATGGTGTCCCCAGATGCTGCTGGTGCCCAGGAGCCCTTGCCCTGCAGCATCTCCTCCTCTGTGCGCCCAGAAGGGCTGCACACCCTGTGCTGGGTGTTTGGGGAAAGGATCTTGTTCTTGCTTGGGGACTGCACAGCACCTGACCCAAAGGGGTGCTCGAAGGCACCAAAGGGGTGCTCGAAGGCACCAAAGGGGTGCTCGAGGGACCCCAGCAGAGCAGTGGCAGCGGCCACGGGCACTCACAGGTGACGCTGAGGCTGACGGCTGGCGATGTGACGCTGCCCAGGTCATTGCGCACCTTGCACAGGTAGTAGCCCGCGTCGCCGGCGGCCACGCTGTGGAACACGAGCGCGCGAGCGGGGCCCTCCTGGAGCCACGCGCTGTTCTTGTACCACGTGTAGTTGAGCTCTTGGCTCTCGCTGCCGGGCACGTCGCAGGACAGCGTGGCCATGGTGCCCTCCCGCACCTCGGCCGCGGGGCTCACCGACACCTCTGCAGCTGCAGGCGACAGGACGTCCCCCTCGCAGCCACCCCCAGCAGCATGCAGAGCGCCGGGGCGGCGCGAGGGGACCCAGGCGGCCCCCATCGCACGCCTGCTTCATCCCCGGGACTCACAGAAGACAAAGAGGGTGAGGGCGGGCGCCGCTGCAGCGCCCACGGCGTTCTCGGCCTCGCAGTGGTACCGCCCGTAGTCCTCGCGACGGACGTGCTGCAGGGTGAGCAGCCGCTCGGCGCCCACGGCCGCGCCGTCCTTGTACCAGCGGTAGGCGCTGACGGGCGGGTAGCTGCTGTTGACGGCGCAGGCGAGGGACACGGCGTCGCCCACGCGGATGTTCCGCGCGGAGGGCTGCACGGAAGCCGTGATGCCCCGCGGTGCGTCTGCGGGACAGACGGACGGACGGCAGCGCTCAGCAGCGCTGCAACGGGACAGGGGCCGGCGGCCACAACGGGGGACACAGAGAGGAGGGATGTGGGGGCTCTGGCAGCCCGAGCTGCGGAGATGGGTGTGAAGCCACGAGGAGGAGGATGGGGAGGAAGGGAGCTCGATGTGCTAGGGCTCCCGGTGGGGAGGCAGGGGAGCGCGCGCGCCGAGCGCCCCACGTACGCCTCACGTGCAGCACGAGCTCCCGCGTGGCCGTCCTGGAGCCCAGGGAGAGCTCGCAGAGCAGCTTCCTGGAGTGGTCCGCCCAGGAGAAGGCGGTGGTGAGGCTCTGGCGCAGCAGCACGCCGCCCGTGTCCAGCCGCATGCCCGTGGCCACGGTGGCGAGCCGCGCGTCGTAGCCGCGCCAGCGCAGGCCGGCGCCGCCCAGGGGGCACGCGTAGGGAGCCGAGCAGTCCAAGGTGGTGGCGGCGCCCTCGGACACCTCCTCGCTGGCCGCAATGCTGGGCTGCTCGGGGCGCTCTGCGGGCGGAGAGCACGGGGCGGGCGGTGGGACAGCCGCGGCGGGTGGACGGACGCACGGACGCGGCACCGCTCACCCGCCACGCTCAGCAGCACGTCCTGCGCCGCCGACCAGCGGTCCCCGCCGATGATCTCGAAGCGGAACCGGTAGCTGCCGCTGTCCTGGGGTGTCACGTCCGTGAGCAGCAGCGTGCAGTTGTGCGCGGCCAGGTCCCCCAGGAGCCGGGAGCGGTCCCCGAACCGGCCGTCCACCTCCCCCGGGGACGCCGAGTGATAGACCACTGTCTTGTCACCGTTGTAGTCCCGGTACCAGATGGCCACGATGCCGGCGCTGGCCGAGACGCTGTCGGGGTAGCTGAAGGTGCAGGGCACGACCACGCAGGAGCCCATCAGGCCCTGCACGGATGCGGGGTACGTGACACCCCACGAGCCCAGGACTGCGGCAAAGAGACAGGAAAGGGGATCAGGGCGCAGCAAAGGCTCCCTGGAGGCCGCCACATGGTGACACGGCCATCGGTGACACCACGGGCAGCCCTCAGCTCTGCACGCCCATGGATGCACCACACTGGCTGCAGAGGGGAAGGATGCATGTGAGAGAAGACCCCGCAGGACCCAGGCTCCAGAGGAAAAGTGGGAAAAGCCTGGCAGGAAGGCGATGGCTTTGGAGAGCCGGCACCAAGCCCCTGGAATCGGGAGGGGAGGTGGGGCCGTACCATGCGGGATGAGGCTGGACAGCAGGACGAGACGCGGGATGTGGAGCATGACAGTCCGGCGGGGATGCACGAGGGCCCGAGGTGCTGCCGTGTTCACGTCCAGGACAAGGAACCTCCTGGCAGCAAGAAGAGACAAAGGCCCTTGAAACGGGATACAACTGGGTCAATCCAGGTTTTCCTCCCCATTGCACCAGCCCCATCACTCCTCAACCCGAGGGAAAACACAGAGGAAAGGGGGTTGTTTAAAGTCACTGCTGATGCTGCGTTACCCAGTGCAGCCAAACAAGCCTGGCTTAAATCACAGCTCAGGCCTGAGCTGATAACAAACAAACTGCGCAGCAGGAAGTGCCAGTTCTGCAGCACAAATACCACCAGACACCTAAACACCTAACAGCAATGAGGGGTGCCTGCAATTTCACCTGGCCTCTAAAAGAGAGGAGGTTAGGAAGTGGTTTTGATGCTTGGCGGATCTTTTCTACGCTTTTCCATTCTTCCTGCATCTTCCCCCTGGGCTCTGTTCCCCAAGAGATGGGATCTATTACGGCAATCCTTGCTGTTAGCAAACGCTCCTGGGAGCAGCCCCCCTGCAGCTCTGATTTACCCGCCGGCAGCGGCCGGGGCTGCGGTGCCGAGGAGGAAGGAAGCGCAATGCACAGCCCGGCCGTCCCAGCCCAGCGCCGCGCTCCCGCTTTCATTTCTGCCGCTGCCAGCCCCGCTTTCCTGGGCCGGGCTGCCGCAGTGCCACTGGAGCCCCTGCGGAGGCAGCAATTCCCGCGGGATGCAGGAGCGGCCGCGGGAGCCCCGGTTGGATGCCCGGGATTTGCAGCAGTGGCTCCACGGAGCTGGGTAAAGGCCGGGCGCAGGGGCCCATCCGTGCGTGCACACGAGCAACGCGGTGGGGCATTGCAGAGCATTGCAGAGCGGCAGCGCAGCGTGCCAAGGTAACACAGGTTAGTGCAATGAGGTGCAACGCGCTGGAAAACACGTCCAAAAGCCATAATCTATTGGAATATCAGTCTGCAAGGCACCCGTGCCCACGCACATATTTGTGCACCCCGAGCGGCCACCTGCCCGTGCCAGTGGGCTGGGGACAGCCAGCAAAGCCCTGCAAGGACTCCCGTGCCAGCAGGTGACAGTGGCACCACGGGCACTGCAGGCAGAGCCCAAGGAGGGCAAGGGGGAGCGCTGCCCTTCGCCTTCCTCCTCCTCCCAGCCCCGTAGGGTGCGGGACGGTACCTGCGCAGCGGGGAACGGCGCGGCCGCCTCGGCGAGCTCCGGGCTGCGGCCGCTGCCGGCGGCCCCGCTATTTATCCCGGCGCGGGTCCCGGCGCGGCACTTCCCCCTCGGCGCTCCCGCCGCTTCTGGGAAGTGCGCAGCCTCGTCAGCTCTGCCTGGCAGTGCCAAGGTGGAGGCAGCGCCGCGGGGGCTGCAGCTTCTCCCCACGGATTGCCAGGGATGAGGGAAGCCCCACAAGGAGCCTGGGCGCAGATCCGGCAGCCCGGCCTGCGAGGGAGCTTTGGGAGACTGGATGTTGGCAGGAGGTGGGAGATGCTCCAGCGCCATCATGCCGGGTCCCGGCAGAGAGGTCCTGGCTGCTCCATGCAGTCCAGGGCTGTTATTTTGCTATTGCCTTGCATTTTTATTTTACATGAAGCACATCCCAATAACAAGAGCACCATGGAGGTTGCAGGGGACCATGGCAAGGCACCAGGAGACACAGAGCTCCCTGGATAAGCAGGTCCCACAGGGAGCGTTTGGCCGATTTCCCGGCTCCGGGAGGAAGCTCTGCTCTCCAGAGAAGCCGGCTGATCCCCAGGGCTTCGGAGCAGGATCCAGGTCCAACCCTGGGTGCAGGGCTGTGGAGCCCACCCAGGTACATGAGCGGGGACAGGGGCCTCACTGCAGCCAAGCCAAAGCCAGCAGATCCTCTCCGTCCTCTTCCAGAGCCTTTGGATACCCCCGTTTGGATATCCCCATTTGGATACCCCATTTGGATACCCCCATTTGGATACCCCCAATTGGATATCCCCATTCCCAGCAGCACGGGAGCCCCATCCCTGCGCGGTGGGTGCACCCTCAGGGTCACCAGCTCTCTGGCAGCTCCCAGTGCACATTCCCAAGCACTTCCAGCAGCTCGGAGCTGCGGGGACCCCGGTGCTCCCTGCCTCGCAGCGGGAGCAGGAGCGGAGCGCGCCACGCGTTGGGAGCATGCTGCCTTTGCCCGGCCACCCGCGGCCAGTTCCTCTTTCCCAGGCGGTCCGCGCCGCTCCGGGGTGGTGTCCATCCGCTGCGGGCCCCGCTCCGGGGAAATGGAAACCGAGGATGCAATGAGATCCTCTCAATGAGGTGAGAGTGTGCTGCGTGCTGCGGGGATGCAAGGACCGTGTGGAGCGCCGCGAGCCAAGCACGGCCCTGCGCACGCAGCAGCACCACGGCACAGCCATGGCTGGGAGAGCTGCCCAGGGCATCCCGGGAATCCAGGGCGGGAGCCAGGAGGGAGGGAGGATGAAGCAGCTGCCGGGATTCCCCGACAGCTCCGACACCTCCGCCGCGATTTCCCACTTGGAGTTGGGCCTCCCAGATTCCTGCCGCAGGGACAGAGGGAGGAGGAGCAGGAGGGCAGCAGGGGGATGAGGCAACGCTCAGGAAGGGGGCCAGGACCCAACGGCCGCTTCCTGCGGGGAGAGGCGGCATTAACGGTGCAGCGGGCGGCGGAGCGCTGGCACCTGAGTCAACAGAGCGTGTTTGGCTTTGGGAAGGGAGCTGCGGGGAGCGGGGGCAGCGCCGGCACCGGCACTGGCACCGGCACCGCAGGCAGACGCAGCCCCATGCATGCCAACGGGCAGCGAGCATGCAGGCAGCGGGGTGCAATGCAGGGGTACCCCCATGTCCCCATGTCCCCTGTCCCATCCCGCGGGGTCCCCAGCCCCGGGCAGCCAGCCGGCTCCGCTGGCGCCGACACGTGTTGTCTTTGGCAGCGGCGGGAGGCCAGAGATCCCAAGGCCCGCTGCCTCCCATCTCCTCCCAGCGCCGGGCTCCGCTTTGTTTTGCATTCGAGGCCTCCGGAATGGAGGAATCAGCAGAACCGAAGTGAACTCGCAAGCGAAAACCTCAATTCCAAGCGCGCAAGAGCAAACTTTGAAGCGTGGAAAGCGCGGGAGGGAGGAAACACTGCAAGCGTTTTGCACCACCGGTCCCAGGGGGACCCTCGGCTCGAGGAAAGAGCCCGATCTGCGGCAACGGCGCATGAGAAAAGAGCCTTAAATTATTCCTGCAACACGGACAGCGTGGAGGTAGGCGGTAATGTGAAGTGACACGGCGCCGACTCGCGCCCTGTGCCCGAGATGTTGCTCCGTCCCGCGCACGGTGCTGCCCCACGGCGCCCACGGCCGGCGTGGGGCAGGAGTAGGGTGCAATAGCTGGCCAATGCCCCAGCGTGGGGATGCTGCGCGCAAATTCCCGGATGCTGCGCTTTCCCGGATGCTGCCCGGGAAAGGCGTCCCGGGACACGGACATGGGATGGGGACAAGGGCAGCGCATTGAGGAGCTCTGTGTCCCACAAACGGCTGGTTTGGGTCTGCCTGGCCAATGTGTGTGGCACTGGGAGCAGATCCTGCACCAAACACCGTCTCTGTGCACCCATGGGTGCAAGCATACCCCAAAGCTACGGTAGCTTCCTGCTGCGGGGCTGGAGCACCATCGCCTGGATGGACAGGGCCATTCCCAGCAGGAATGGGGATGAGGAGCAGGAGGAGACACACGGGCAGCAGGAGCAGGACGAGAGCAAGGACAGGAAGCGAAAAGGGGAACGTTGCCTTTGCTCCCGTCCTGCCCTCGGGAGCGGGGAGCTGCCCCGGCCGCGCACGTGATGCCCAAGTTCTGCTTCCCCGGCAGCGGGGACGCCGCTCGGGCCACCAAGGTCCCTGTGCACCAGCACCTCCAATCCGTTCATTTCGAAGGGAAAACCCGCTCCAAGGTGCTCCCCAGCCCGCAGGTGGCCGGTGGTCCTTGGCACGAGGAGACTTCCAACCCTGTCCTCTCTGCTGCCCTGGGAGACCCGGCGAGGGCACCGAGCAAAAGCTCCAGGACGGGCATGGGAAGCAGCATCTCTTCCCAAGGGCCGTGCGTGTCCCACTCGGGAGGGCTCGTCCTCTTCAGGGCAATCCAGCTTGGACACCAGGAAAGGCTTCCCAGGGGTGGCAGCAACGTGTTGGGATGGGGCTGGAGGGGGACGCGCCCTCACTGGGGGTTTGGGGCCAGGCAGGTGGCTCCTTGGGGACCTTGCAGCCCGTTGTCCCTGGGTGTCCCCATGGGGAGGATGTGGCCGCAGGATCCCAGCAGGTGCAGGAGCACTTTGCATGCAGGGACCGCTCAGAGCGCCGCCTTGGTGCCAGCCCGGGACTGGCAGGGGGCCCAGGCGTCCGGCGCCAGGCGCAGGGCTGGCAGGGGAAGAGGTGAGGCCGGGAAGGAAGCTGGGCACGGCGGAGGGGCCGCGCTCGCTGCCGCTTCCTGGGGAAGCGGGATCATGAGTGCAGGGGCGCGGGGTGTAACTGCGCTCGGGGCGCGCGCGGGCAGCGCGTGGGGCGGCAGCGGCAGGGCGCGTGTGCAGGGCGCGTGGCACGGTCACCGTGGGGCTGACGGTGCATTCTGCATGTGCCGCAGGGCACGGGGCTGACGGTGCATTCTGCATGTGCCGCAGGGCACGGGGCTGACGGTGCATTCTGCATGTCAGGCTCGCGGGACGCTCTCCGTGCACCACCCCACGCGCACTGCCGCTTGCACCGCTTGCCGCGTGCACCCATCCTGCCTGGTCCTGGTGCGCATCCCGCCTGGCCCTCGCTTTTCCCTGCCGCGCATCCCGGCAGGCTCGGGGGCCGGCTCCCTGCTCCGGCGCTTCCTGCCTCTCCGAGGCGTTCCTGGCCCTTTCCTCAATGGCCGGAAAAGGCTACCTCATCCCTTGAGCGGGGGCCAGGACGCAAACACAGGCGTTGCCCTCCGCCCCGCGCTTCCCACCCCGCCGGCCGCGGCCACCACGGGCTCCCACGGGGCCTGGACCAGCACCGAGTTGTGCCTTTCCAGGCTCTCCGCAGCCCCCAGGGCTTTTCCAGGCTTGTGCACTGGGTAGATTGCACGCAAGCTGCAAACACCCCCGGGTAGGTGCCATGCACCTTGCAAACGCCACCAAACCTTGCCCAGGTTGCCAGCTCTGCTGCTTAAACCTGCTGCGGCTCTGCAGGGAGCAGCACGCGGGGATGGGAGGGACAAGGGGACAAGGGCAAAGGTGTACGTGGAGGGGGGCTGCACGGCGGGGTTAGGGACATGCAGAGGAACAGGGGGCTGCACGAGGGAGCAGAACAGGGTGCAGGGCACCAGCGTTTTCCACACGTGGAAATCCCGAGTGCCCTGCAGTGCACGGGCTTTGCATTTATTGTGCTAAACGTGCCCTTCCTGCAGCCGTCCTGCACAGCCCTGCTCCACATCCCCCCTCAGCACGCACAGCGGGCTCCCCAAAACCAGCCCGGCCGTGAGACGGGCCCCGTTGCCGCTACCATCGCCCCGTCCCCGCGCCGCGGCCGGGCGGGAGCCCCGCGGGGCCACCGGCCCTGCCTCCGCCCCGCTCCCACATCTGCAGCTGGAATTGCAATTTGAAGCGCTGCCTGGGCTGGGCCGGGGAGCGGGAGTGGGAGGAAGGCGCTGGGGGAAGGCAGAGGAAGCCGGAGAGGCGGCCGGCACGGCACGGCACGGTGCAGCGCGGTTCGGCACGGTGCAACGCGGTTCGGAACGGTGCGGCGTGGTGCAGAACGGTGCAGCGCGGTGCAGAACAGTGCAACCCGGTGCATCCAGCGCGGGAGCCGCAGCGCCGTCCAGCCGGCAGCGCACGCGGGACAACATCGGGCGTCGCGGCAGGACGGGGCCTGGAGGCGGGTGAGGTGCTGGGGGACCCGGGACAGCCCTGCACGAGGCCTGAGGTGCAGAATGGGAACTGGAGGGGCCAGGACGCCTGGGCCCTCTGACTGGCTCCAGGGTGCAGATGTGGGGCCTGGGGCACCTCGGGGACACGCTGAGTCCCCTGCAGACGCAGCCCCAGGGCTTTCCTGCACTGTGGGGTGCCCCAGTGCATGGGGCGCTTTAGCCCCGTGGGCAGCAGGCGCGGAAGGCCCCATCCCCGCTGTCCCCGCGCTGTGGAGCGGGAGCCGCAGCCCCCGAGCGACGCCCGCCCGGCCTTTCCGCCTTCCCGCGGCCGCTCCGGCCCCTTTCCCCTCCCTGCCTCCCTGTGCCCGAGAGGAATCCGGCGGCAGCCCCGAGCGGCTGCTGCTGCGCGGATCGCAGGGAGCCCCGGCGGGGCGGGAGCGGAGCCCGCAGCCCCGGCCCTGTCCGGGTTTTGCTCCCGCGCTGCAAACCCCCGCAGGGACCTCGGCGCTGGCCCGGGGCCTCGATGGGTCTGGGCCCAAACCGTGACCGCCGCACAAGGCGGCAGGGGCCGTGCACACGCGTGTCCCGCTTGCATGTGCCTGTGCACGGTGCACGCACGCGGCGCGGGGCTGCTTGTGCTGGCGCAGGGCCCGCGTGGGGGGTGCCGTGCGGGGCCGCGGGGCTGCACCCCCGGGCGAGGGGTCTGCGCGGCCCCATCGCGGCCCTGCGCGGCCTCGGCGCTGCCCGGGACGGGACAGGATGGGGTGGCGCGGGACGCAGCCCACGCGCGCGGTGCTTCCCTTGCAGCGCGGCCAGGCGGGATGGCGACGCTGCCGGAGCCCGGCGCGCGCAGCCTCCATGCAGGTAAGCGGCACGTGGGGGGGCTCCGCAGGGCCCCTGGGGGCCGCTGCCGCATTCCCAGCCCCTTCCCGCCCCGCTGCACCCCACGCCGCGGCCAGCTGCCCGCCGTGCCCCTCCGATGAGCTGCCGCCGCCGCCCCTCGCCCCTAACCAGAACCAGCTGCCGTAACCCGAGCCACGCGGCGGGACGTGGGGCCCGCGCAGGCACTGACACCCGCGGGGTCCCCGCGCCGCCCCCGGCACGCGCGAGCCGGGCGGAAAGGCTGCGGCTGTGTGCCCAGCACGCGGTCCCATTGGTGGGGACTGAGCCCCTTCCCCATCCCACTGTGGCATCCTTATCCTGGTGCAACATCCCTATCCCAGTGCAACACCCCCATCCTGGTACAGCATTCAAATCCTGCTGCAGCATCTCCGTCCCACTGCAGCATCCCCATCCCACTGCAGCATCCTCGTCCTGTTGCAGCATCCCCATCCCAGAGCAGCATCCCTATCCTCCTGCAGCATCCCTGTCCCGGTGCAGTGTCCCTGTCCCACTGCAGCATCCCCATCCTGGTGCAGCATCCCCACCCCAGAGCAGCATCCCTATTCTCCTGCAGCGTCCCTGTCCCGGTGCAGCATCCCTATCCTGCTGCAGCATCCTCGTCCTGTTGCAGCATCCCCATCCCAGTGCAACACCCCCATCCTGGTACAGCATTCACATCCTGCTGCAGCATTCCTGTCCCAGGGAAGCACTCGCATCCCAGTGCAACCTTCCCATGCCAGTGCAACCCCCCCATCCCGCTGCAGCATCCCCATCCCATTGCAGCACCCCATCCCATTGCAGCACCCCAGCCCTGGTGCAGGACCCCAGCCCTGGTGCAGCACCCCAGCCCTGGTGCAGCACCCCATGCCCACAGAGCCCCGCAGCCCCCCGCCAGCCCCCACGCTCTGCAGCGCAGGAAGGTGCCGAGGAGGCTGGACGGCCACCGGCACGCGCCGTGCGGGCCCTGAGTGCCACCCCGCCAGCCACCAAGCCTGCAGCGCCTTCCCGTTCCGCGCGGGATCAAATATTCATGGGCAGCCATCGGATACAGCGAAAGGCACTTAGGGAGGCGGCGCGGGCGCAACGGAGCCGTGTCGCGCGGGGGAGCGGCTCCCGGGGGAGCCCGGTGACGCTCGGGCGCGCGGGGCGGGCGCTGAGTCCGTCTGCACCACGAGGCTCCGCAGCGTCGCGCCCCGCACAGACCCCAGCCCCACGGATCCTCACGGACATCGTTCCGTGGCCTCGGCCTTTTCTTCATCCCGTCTGCAAGCGGCTCCTCGCTTGCCCGTTCTGTGGGTGCTGGGGAGCCCCTTCCTCGTGCACGGAGCGGGGAAGCGTGGGAAGGGCTGGCTCCTGCTGCTCCCACCACCACGGCCCTGCAGCGGCCTGGGAGCCTGCGGCTACCAACAGGGGACACCTCTGCTCGGTCCCCTAGCCCAGCAGCACCTCCTTGAGAAGCGTCTCCAGGAGGCCTCTTCTCTAGGAGGTCCCTTTTCTGGGATGTCCCCTCTCCAGGAGACCCTTCTCTAGGAGATCCTTCTCCAGGAGACTCTTCCCCAGGATGTCCCTTCTCCAGGAGATCCTTTCCCAGGAGGTCCCTTCTCCAGGAGGTCCCCTCTCCAGGAGACCCTGCTCTAGAAGGTCCCTTCTCCAGGAGACCCCCTCCCCAAAACATCCTTCTCCAGGAGACCCTTCCCTAGAAGGTGCCTTCTCCAAGAGATCCCCTCTCCAGGAGACCCTTCCCTTGGAGGCCCTTTCTCCAGGAGATCCCCTCTCCAGGAGACCCTTCCCAGGAGGTCCTTTCTCCAGGCGGTCCCCTCCCCAAAACATCCTTCTCCAGTAGACCCTTCCCTTGGAAGTCCCTTCCCCGGGAGGTCCCCTCTCCAGGAGAAGGATCCCCATCCTCGCTTGGGCAGCCCCACCAGCAGACACCTCGGCTGGGTCCCTCCTGTGGGGACACTGAACGCCCTTGGTGGCCCCGCGCGCTGACGCCGCGGTGTCCCCAGGTGGCAGCGGGCAGCGGTGCCCCACGCCGTCACCGCCGGGCTCGCCGGGGACGCGCCACAGCTGCAGCATCGCCCCGCTGACGCCCTCCCCGTCCCCGGTAAGCGCCCACGTGGGCCCCCTTGCTGGCGGGACACCTTGCTTCGGCCACCGACCCGCAGTGCGCGTGCGTTACCTATGGGTGCCTCTACGTGACCAGGACCCGCACGCACCCCTTGGTGGTGGCTTTTATGGGACTGCGCGAGCGCACCATTAGCCCCACATGTCTGCGGTGCGAGAACAGCCGAGGAAATGGGTTTAATTGCCAGCCTCGCGGCGCGCTGGGGCTGGCTTTGACGTGAGCATGAGCATGGAGCGCCGGCGCTGCGCGTCCTCCCCGCGTCCCGCCGCTCCCAGCGGCGCCTGGACACGCGTATTCCCGAGACAAGCAGCTCATCCGTGCTCACAGCGGCCTTGTTTCCGAGGGCGGCTAATGTACTTATCATATCTGCGGATATTAAAAAGTTAATGAGGGCTTTTAGCGCGGTGCATTTGCACCGGGCGCCTGGGGAGCCCGCGGCGCGGCACACACGGGCACGGGCACGCGCCGCTGCCCGGCTGCCCGCAGCACCTCTCCCTCCAAGAACACCCCAAATATTCCGCGTTTCCCTTTTCCTCGTGTTTCGAAGCTTCCTAAGAGGAGAAATGAGCTGGTGCCATAAAACCACAGGAAATAACTCGGGGAGAGAGCGCTGCGGGTCGCGGCTCTGGCACGGGCTTGGCGCTGCCGCGGAGCTTTTAATGACAGGTCATGGGCTCCGCAGCAGGGGAAAAACTTAACCATCTTGTGAGGTTTTACCCCATTTCCCAAGCGCTGCAGGGCACTAGCAGCCCTCTTGCCTTGCAGAGGAGCGAGGCGCGCGCCGCCCCGGCCGCCTCCTTCGCCGTGGTGGTGGCCATCGACTTCGGCACCACGTCCAGCGGCTACGCCTTCAGCTTCCGCAGCGACCCCGAGGCCATCCACATGATGAGGTAGCCTCACGGGCTCGTGTGTCTGCCCGGGGCAGCCGGGAACCTCAACTCCAACCATCACCTCAACCCCAACCTCAACCCCAACCCCAACCCTAACTCCAATCCTAACTATAACCCCAACCCCAACCATCACCCTAACCTCAACCCCAAACTCAATCCCATCATCCTAACCTCAACCTCAACCCCAACCTCAACCCCAACCCTAACCCTAAACACAATCCTAAATACAATCCTAACTACAGCCTCAACCTTAATCACCATCCCAACCCTAGCCCAAATCCCAACTACATCCCTAACCCCAACTCCAGCTACACCCTAACCCAACCCTAACTACATCCCTAGCCCAAAACCCAACCCTAGCTAGAACTCTAACCCCAACCCCACTCATCATCCCAGCCCCAAGCCTAACCCCAACCCTAAACATCACCCCAAACCCAAGCCAACCCTAACCTCAACCATCACCACAACCCTGACCCCAGCCCTAACCCCAACTCCTAAATCCAATCCTAGCCCTGAATGGGGTTGCTGATGGCTTGCAGGGCTGCCATGATCACATGCCACAAACTTGGTCCTTCACACTGGCCTTGGCCTCTGCCCATCTTGCTCATCCTGGCTGGAGGCTGAGGGGCTTGGGGCCGCTTTCCTCCTCCTCCTTGCAGGAGATGGGAAGGTGGCGACCCAGGGGTGGCCAACCAGAAGACGCCCACCAGCCTGCTGCTGACGCCGGCGGGAGCCTTCCACAGCTTCGGCTACACGGCCAGGGATTACTACCACGACCTGGACCCCGAGGAGGCCCGCGACTGGCTCTACTTTGAGAAGTTCAAGATGAAGATCCACAGCACCAGCGTGAGCCACAGGGCTGCGTGCGTGGGGGCCGTGGGGGGTTATCCTGTCTGCGAGTTGCAGACCCTGCAGATTGCAATGCAAAGCAGGAGGCTCCTTTTCTGCACTCCTGCCTCCTGTCCCAGCTGCTCTGGAGCAGCCTCGGAGGCTGCAGCAGATGCGACGCAGGCACCACATTGCTGCAAGCACCACAACTTGGGGTTGAGGTTAGGGTGATAGTTGGGGGTGGAGTTGGGGTTGGGGTTGAGGTTGAGGTTAGGGAGATGGTTGGGCTTGGGGTTGTAGTTAGGATTGCAGTTAGGGTTGGGGTTAGAGCTAGGGTTAGGGTTGAGGTTAGGGAGATAGTTGGGGTTGTAGTTAGGATTGCAGTTAGGTTGGGGTTAGAGCTAGGGTTAGGGTTGAGGTTAGGGAGNAGGGTTAGGGTTGAGGTTAGGGAGATAGTTGGGGTTGTAGTTAGGATTGCAGTTAGGTTGGGGTTAGAGCTAGGGTTAGGGTTGAGGTTAGGGAGCTGGTTGGGCTTGGGGTTGTAGTTAGGATTGCACTTAGGGTTGGGGTTAGAGCTATGGTTGGGGTTAGGGTTGAGGTTGAGGTTAGGGAGATGGTTGGGGTTGAAGTTGTAGTTGGGATTGCAGTTAGGATTGGGGTTAGAGTTAGGGTTGGGGTTGGGGTTAGGGTGATGGTTGGGGTTGGAGTTGGAGTTGGGCTTGCAGTTAGGGTT